AGCTTGCTCAAAACCACCTAATAGCACCTGGCACAGCTCACAGCAACCACTCTCCTCCAAAAGCAAAAGGGAAGCACCCACCTTTCACTGCAAAGCATCATGCTGAGAGCACACAGGGGAGCAAAGGCCAGATAAGGAGGAGCAGGAGAGGTTGCAGGCTTGCAGGGCTGAAGACTATGGAGGGACTGAGCACCAGGCTTTGTAGGCAGTGAGGGCTCAGCCAGGTATCCCACATCCCACTCCACCTGCTGAGGCTGATTGCTGGGGTTTTAGCCAAAGGAGGTAAAATGCACTGGTTAACCCAGGTGAAAGGACAGAACCTCTAATCTGACCTTCCTTCATGATTCCCAATGACCAGCGGCTCCCACTGATGAGGAGGAGCCGGGACACTCTTGCAGCAATGTCACCACAGCTGGATACCCACCAGGTGTCCAGGTCCCAAATGTGAGAGCCCCATGTTTGACCCCAGTGCATTTTGCCTGCAATTCCCCATTAGCTCACCCATTTCCCAGCCTGGCACGGGTGCAAGCTAGTTTCTTGTCCAACCATCCACTAATGAAACCACTTCCACTTCTCCAGGCTCACGTTCAAGTTTCCCATGTGGGAAGCATGACCTTGGCACCCAGCAGCTTGCCTTGTCATGTGTATCATGGACATTTAGCGCTCATGAAAGGTGCTCAGGGACAGGAGAGCGATGGGAGCTGGGAGCAAGGGGATCTCACCCGGTTCCTTCCGGGTGAGAACATAGTGTTAATAGCAAAGGGAGAAAAGTAATAGATTAATCAAAAATGGAGATCCACTATGGGGTAGATAGAGCCTGAGCTTGATTTCGGGAAGGGCTACATGGCATTGACCCCTATTCTTAAGGGCTCATGGCTCCAAATGAGCCCATCACAGCCTGCTGCGTAGCTCAGCACCATCTCTGCATCCCACCAAAGTCTTCCTCCCTGGCATCAAGGGTCAGCCATGAGCACAAGCCAGGAGGCTGCAGGCCCTCAACTCTGCAGCACCAAAGGCAGATACTGTTTCCTGCCTAAAAAAGCAGGCACAAAGGGGAAAAGAGGCAGGAAAGTAATCCATGTCCCTTCAGCGCTGCCAAAGTACCTCACTGGAAATGCAGAATATCTTTCTTTAATGGCCCTCCCTTTGCTCTTAAATACCTGTAAAGCAAAACACAGGAAAAAAGCCCAAAAGATGCTGAAACCGAAACCACACACTCAGTGTCACCCTGAAGGAGGTGTTTCAGGTTAAACCACTGACCTGAGAAGGTCTTTCTTTGCCTAGTTATGCCTCGGCAGTAGCCACTGCCAGTGAGAGGCAGCACGCTCTGACACACGGGTATAAAATTGCCTCCAGTTGTGGCGGGGAGGGAGGAGGCCACAAACACCCTCAGCCATGGGGAAAAGGAGAGTGGAGAGTGCTGATTCATGAGGCACCGGGCTCTGAACTGTGGTTGGGACACACACAGAGGGGAAGGTTTTTCCATCCCCTGCTCTCTTGCACTGGGTTGGACCTGACATTCACCTCTGTGGGAAACAAAGGTCTCTTTGCAGAGGATCCAAGAAGGTGAAGTCAAAGCCTTTATCCATCCTTGCTTGTAGAAAATCCCTCTGAAATTAAGCATCACTTGGTTTGACTGCACCTGCAGCTACAGGACAACAGTATTGGAGCAGTTTAATCTATCTATGGTGACTTTGTGGTCCCCTTCAGGCTGCTGCGTGAAGGCATCAAGGCATGCCAGCCTGACCCCATCGCACCAGGCAGGAAATCAAGCCCCAAAGCAGGAGCTGGCTGGTGGCAGAATGAGGCTTGGCAGGTCTGTGTTATAATTTAAGAGCAGGCTTAAGCATAAACTCATCTTGTTTCCAGCCTGATTTTGGACAGTCCAGCAATGCCACATCCCACCATCCCCATCAGAGCAGCCTGGCTTCTCCTGCCTCTCCCCATGCTTGCAGAGACCAAGACTGGCAGAGGCAGGCAGGGGTCCTGGTTTCGGCAGGGATAGAGTTAATTTCCTTCCTAGTAGGAAGTTAAGTTCTTCCTTCCTAGGAAGGAAGAACTAAGGAACTATTTCCTTAGTTGCCGACTGAGGTTAAACCACGACAGCAGGTCAGCCACACAGCCAGTCCTGGGGTGACCTAACAGAAAAATGCAGCAAAGGTTGGATGGGATCTGGATGAGTTTAGCTAAGGTTGATGGACATGGAGTACAGTCCAGGAGTTTTCCCTTATCAACTTCTTTGGTCCATGCTCCATCAGCGCAGGATGCTCACGTGTCCTCAAAGATGCTTCTCCAAAGATGCACACAGAGCAATGATTTGAACCAAAACCAACCCAACTGGGCTGTGGCATCACCGTGCTGCCACCGACAGCATCCCTCAGCCTGGGGTCTTCCATCTCCGAAGAGAGGGACATCATGTCACTTCGGTCCTTGCAGGGACAGACCGGGTGTTTTGGGAGCCGCCGAGCAATGAGGAGGCGGCTGTGTGGCAGCTGAAGGGCAGGCAGAGGAAAGACAGGCAGAGGAAGGCTGCCACCTGCTGTCCATAGAAACCTCTCCAAGTCATAAAAATGGGACAAAATCCAGATCTGCACGTGCATCTTAAAACACAGTTTCATGCCCCCCATGGTGCGGTCCTCCAGCGTGGGAGAGCCACCAGCAACTCAACCCAGGTGGAAAGAGGAAGACCACAGAGGACACGTGGAAAGGGGAGACCACCACATCCCATTGGGCTGGTGAAAAATCACCCATGGACAGTGGAGAAAGTGTCCTGTAGAACATTTCTCCAACCCACTCTGACACTGGGAGCCACGATTAAGAGAACCAAGAAGCAACGTGACAAGCAATGTGCTGGCTGAGCTGAATTTCTCTTCTCCTGAGCCCCCCACCGCTGCAGATAGCTCATGTGTCTTCCTGGGCCAGGGGGACATCGCAAACAGTGTCACTGTGAGCTAATTTGGTGGCATTAGTAAATATCCCATTCAAGTGATGGGTAGGAGATCTGGACCTCTCCTCCGAAGGTTGAGCTAATTAATCTCCTACCTTCTTCCTCTATTGTCAGGCTTTCTCGTAAGGCCATTGTTGGCCTAATTAAAAGGCTCTTCAAGATGAGTGTCCCCTGAACACCGGCCATATTTTGACAGTGACAATAATTACAAAATAATAATAATTACCCAACCGTGAGAAGAAAGGTCCCAGGAGGAGAGGATAGTAAGTGGCGGAGAAATCAGGACTTGAAGCCCGTGTCTCTTCTGGTGGCTGGTGGTGTGCGAGGGAGAAACATGGCCCAGCTTCCCAAGACTTGCTTTTCTCTGCCTATTGATCATGTCTCTGTGAAAAGGGCACATTTAGCCCCCCAAGCACTGAACTGTAGACATTCCTTAGCCAAGAGCTCCCCAAATATCTCAGAACTGCCCCAGAAACGCAGCCTGCCATCAATCCTCCGAATGAGCAGCCCTCAAAAGCTCATCTGACCTCCCAGCATCTTCAGGGAGCTGAGGGCTTTGCTCCATGTCCACCCGGAGCTGTCAGCACTCTCTCCTCCAAGGCCAGATCTGGTTCGTTAAGGCTACCCTCGGTTTTGCGCTGCTCAAGCCTTTCTCCTTCGCTGGTCTGGAGGATTTAAAAAAATGAGCCCAGTTCCCAGGAGACACCCCTGCACTATTGTCCTTGGCCTGATGAGTTCCAGATGTCCCCCCAGCTCCTGGGCTGAGCCTGGATGTCCCATGGGGAAAAATGCTCACCCAGATCTGTGGCTGCCCATGGTGCCTCCTGTCATCCCGAAATTGAAGATAAGATGGTGAACGGCTCCAGTTTCAGATCTGGCCTTAGGAGACAAAACCAGGCTTGGATGAACAGTGGTGTCTGTCCAGCTGATGAGCTGTAACCCACTGCAGGAAGCAGCAGCAAGTGCTTGGGCACACAAATGCTTCTTTTAAATTTTTGCTCTTGCTTTTTTCTTAATGTTTTTTAACTCAAACCAAAGGTGTTTGAAAGGGCAGCCCTGCGGGCAGAGAAATCATTTCCCCATGCAAGATGTGCTGTGACAATAAGGGGCCACCTCACCTGAAAGGCGGAAACCAATAGGTCACTCCTTTGTTCCAAGAAGTGGAAAAAAATAGAAAAGATAACAGAAGCAGCAACAGCAACAATAAAAAAAAAAACAAACCCTCGCTGAAGGCGTAAGCTGAAAAATATGGCAACAACTATATTTTTTGCAACACCCCACTTAAAAAATCCTGTAATGACTCATAATGACCCATCCAACTAAAACCAGAAGTACCGATGACCTACCCATCAGCTTTTAGCATCCTGCTAACAACATTAAAAGCACTGGTAAGGAGAAGAGTTTAGCACAACCAGCTTGAAGGAGGAAAATAGGATCTTGCTTTTCGGGGAACGGTTGTCTTTGCAGAAGGTAAGTGCCTTTTCCTCCCTTCTTTACTACCAATCTCTGAAGAAATTAAACCAGAGAAATTAAAGTGCTTGCTGATGGGCAACCAAAAGTCTGATTTTCAGCAACTAAAGGGTGGGGGCTGGCATTTTACTCCCCCAAGCCCCTAAGGCATCCAGCAAAGAGAAGAAACGTAAAACTCTCATTAATAACTCTTCTGAAGGTGCTTGTCTGAGCAACTAACGGTCGGGAAAGCTCTCCAGCACTCTGGTGATAAGCTCAAGAGAGAAATATTGCTCCTAGATAGAAAAGGGGAGGTTTGTGATAAAGTTTATTGCAATGAATTATCTCTTGACATTACACAAACCCGTTCTTGCGGCTCTGTGCCTGCACCTAAGCAAGGGTAGACGTGCCAATAGGTAATTGTGAGGATGCAATTTTCACACGCACCCATCAAAATGCTGCCAAGACGCCTGGGAAGGAGGTTGTCTGATGCTGGATCTGTCCCGTGCCACGCTGCCAGGGCTCCTGCAGGGGCTGGGGAAGTCAATGGCGATTGCAAGCCTGGACATTTCTATCTCGACTTCTGCCTTCTCCAGAAAGACAAATGCAGATGGTCCGGAGGCTGGACCTCTCCGGGCTGGTGTTTGCCGTTGTGATCCCGGCAGGGCGGCAGAGGGGCCACAAGGACTTGGATGACACGTCCAGGTACAGGGCGTTGGCGGAGCTGGCCCGGGGAGATGGCCGGCGCGGGCAGGGGCTGTCAAAGCAGCTCAGCCCTCTCCGTTACCGCTGCTGCCAGCTCTCCCGGCTCTGGGGCTATTGCAGCGTGCCTGTTTCTTTTGTACTTATCCGGAAAAGCTCCCTGCTGGCTCTCTAGCAGCCCACGCAGGGCCATTGCCATGTGTGTCCCCCCAGGATTTCTCGGCTGTGTCACACCAGAGACGGGCTGCACGGGGACACGCCGGGGCAGAGCCAGGACAGGGCAATGCTTTGGGCACGGTGCTGCGCCCCCCTCTGCACCGGCAGCCGCGTGGGAGGAAAACACTTTGGGGACATTCTGTCAGGGCGAATTTGTGAAAAATCAGCTCTCCATCCTGGAGCTGGAGGAGGTTGATCTAAACCTCAGAGCGGCACCACGCTCCCTCCCAGCAGCGGCAAGCAGGGACTGGGGTGGAGGCACAAACCCAATGCAGCGGAGCAAGACGTAAGGCAAATAGTATGGGATAGGATATTGCATATATTTGAGGTCAGGAGCAAGCCTGGCCAGGCTTGGCAGACCCCCCTGAAGCCAACAATTATTTTTATGTATTAGTATCGCTTTTCTGGAGGATGCTCCACACAGTAAAGTACTTTACAGGACACAACCCCCGTTCTGGGCACCTCCTGCAGGGAGGATGCAGGATGCCACCATGTGCATTCAACCACGTTTTCTTCCCCCATCCTTCTCTCCCGAGCAGAGGGCAGTCGTACGAATCCCAAAGCGCCCAAAGCTTCATGTCCAACTTCAAGCGGCACTCGGAAGGCACCTTCACCAGTGACTTCACCCGCTACCTGGACAAGATGAAGGCCAAAGACTTTGTGCACTGGCTCATCAACACCAACCGGTACAGGTGAAAAGGGGAGAGGGGAACGGGACCACGCTGGGAAACAACCTCCCACCTGGCCACGAGCCCCCGATCCCAATCGATAATGCGGTTTTGAAAGTTTTGTCTCCATGTGTTTTATTTTCGGCAGCTCCACAAAGAGGTACCTGAAGGAGGAGACCCACAGCATCCCCTTCCCAGCTGTGTTCCCACCGCTCATGTGAGTCATCTCAAATAGCAAATGCAGTGAATTAAAGCCAAATAAATGAGTAATTTTAAAATGTAGCCACAAATCAGTGGGTTTGGTGCAAAGGCAGAACGCGGCTCCCTATGCCTGATGCTGCTTCTCATTTTTGCTGGCTTACGTGGATTGTCTTGTGTTTATTTGCAATAAAATAAGACAAGGAGAATTAAGCTTTTGGGGGGGGGGGTTTTAATAGTTTACAATGGGATGAGGCTGTTTTGTTCTCACCATGCCTTTTTCTGAATTTTTACACTTCATTTCAGTGTTAATGTGTAGGGTTCATTTGCATTTATAGGGGATAGTATCCTGTTTCAGTTTCGATGTTGCTGTTGGTCCTTTGAAAATGAGAAAATCACTGCCACTGTTTCGAAGCTACGAAAGTGATTTTAGGGGGAGTTTCTATTCCGTGATGCTGTTCGGTGTTTGTTTGCTTTTTAATTTTAAGGTACAATTAAATGGCAAATCAAGGCATTGGCTTTCCAGCACCATCAGCCTGGGGATGTTGGATGCCTCCACGGCCAGCAGTGATCAGATGCTCTAGAGGAAGAATTTATCCATCACACGGAGCCGCTTTAACCCTTTTGGTGTTTCCCAGTCACCTCCTCCTAAAGATTGCACCCGTGGATCAGCCTTCCCTTCAAACCTGGATTTTTCCAGCTTAATTTTACTCTGTAACCACGCGTGCGGAGCTGCAGATCCTGCAGCTTTCCCTAAATTGTAATAAAACCTTTGCTAAATCTGGCAGCTGGTTCCTGACGTCTCCAACCCTTCCAAGCATCCCACTGGGATCCCACGTGCTGCTGGTCCTGGGGGATTTTGAGGCACCAGGTTATGACCCCGGCTTGGCTCAATGTGCCCCGTTTTTCTCTAAATTTCTTGAGTTTTAGGTAAAAGGGGAATCAGAATGCGCTTGCCAGACCCCACAGACCTGCACCAGAGGGAATATTGAAAGAACTTTAAAAAACCCACAAACCTATATGAAAAATAACAAGAACCTATTTGGATTTAGTTTAATGCTAATTAATTGTATTGCAAGTGCTCCAAAAAAACCCCCAAAGTGCTTTCTTGCTTGCTTTCTTGCTTGCTTTATGCTTGCTTTCTTTTTTGCCTGCTTTCTTTCTTGCTTTCTTGATTGCTTTCTTGCTTTCTTTCTTGCTTTC